AGCAGCCCTTCTGGAAGAAACAGACCTTTCTTTGAATAAAACTCCTTCCTTTTAAAAAAGCGCAGTGCGCAGACACATAAATGTGTTCTGGAGAATTGGGACATTCTTTATCAGAACAGCCAGAGGCCTTGCTCTTTTGATCTGTCACACTCTGGGCCTTTCCTCGACTACTCTCGTGCTATTTAATCTTTCCATGTGGATAATAGTCATGGTTTGTGTCTCCTCTTCCTACCCCCCTGTCTTCTTTTTTTATCAAAAAAACAAAAGCCGGTCCCTTGGACTCCCTCATCGTTCTTCTTTTCCAGCTGAAGCTGTTTCCACACGAGCAAGTTATTTGGCACAACAAGGAACAGATCAAAAGATGAAAGCATTTGGTACATGTACACCACATGGAGTTGGCCTGAGGGGGTATGACTTCAGGTTAGATTTTAGTCTGCTCCCCCAGACTGGGGGGATGTGGTTCCAAGCTGTCCAATCTTTGGGTTGGGATCCTTGTGTCCCCATTAAAAGGGATGCAGCATCATCACTGCACAACTGGAGTAGAGCTCCTGGATCACTTTTATCCAAAAGGAATCAAGTTAGCACGGACCAAAACCACTCTGCAACTCGACCAGCGTGTGATGGGTGGGGACCACGGGAGGATTTGCTGACTGTGAAAACCACCCCGTTGCTCTGAAGTGAAATGCTCAGGTAGACAGAGCCAAAAATGCCAGTTTTCTAAATGCCCAAACAAGTCCACCTGAAAATTGCTAATTCTGAAACATGTTTAGCAAGCTTCTTTTCAGACCATTTTTAACTTCCCATGGACTTGCAAGAGATGAGGGATCCAGCAAATTTCAGTTTGAATGAGAGGGGGGAGTATATTTCCTAGAAATGATCCCCTCTGCTCAGGCACGAACACTTTGCTCTCTGTTCTGCCTACAAAGAGTATTCTTTCCAGTACTCCCACTCCAAAAACAACCTCTCAATATGGACAACAATATCAAACAGAAGCTGTCTCTGGAAAGGGCGACGAGCAAGCCACGTGCTGGTGCCAGTCTGCACTGCAGTGGAATGACACAAGGAGAGGCCTCGTGTGCTGCTGTCATTTCTCAGGAGTGAATGGCACTGGGCTCTCCAGCTGGAACCCACGGCCCCAGCCAGGGAAATTCTTGTGTTCCACCTCTCAGGGAGAGTTTGCACTTTTCCCAGGAAGCTGCTGGTTGCTGGGAGGTGGGGCAGGGGCACCCACAGCCCCACCTGTTGGACAGGTCACCACTGGTTCCTGTGGAGCCAAGACACAGCTCCTTCCCTGCTCACAGGGATTCCTGCTGGAATCTGTGCTTCCAGATCCTACACACAACAGTTTTTAGCCTTTATTACACAAATAGGATTTCTGTCTCAAAACCTGACGTTTCTTGCAAGAATGACAATAAAACTAAAGGAAAATGCCAAGTAGTTTCTGCTACTGCAGCTTCTGGATCTTCAAGCTCCTTTTCCCTGACCTGTGCATACTCTGAACGAAATGGGAATGCTGAATATCCACTGAGCCAGAAAACACATGAAAACAGGGGGAAAAACAAACTACAGATCAGTCCACAGCTGGTGTAAATGTCTCTATTCCACTTAAGTCAATGGAGATGCTCTACTTCACCTCAGCTCAGCAGCTGGTCCCCTATAGAGAAACAGTCAAACAATGTGAAACACAAGACAGATGAGGAGGAAGCAGCACTTCCTAGGATTCAGTAGGATAAGGAAGAAAACAGAAACAAATCAAACCATGGTTATTAGAAAAGGTGACAAAGGTTCCCCTGGGACACTGCAGGGTCAGGTGAAGGTAGAGCCACGGCACTGCAGGTCCCTACCAGAACCACCTTTTACAGCCCAGACAGAGAAGGTGCTTGTGCAGGAGATGAAATGGGGCTCCCCCAGCACAGGCAGCTTGGATCTGACAGCCTGGGATGTTACAGGGCTCAATTCCCTGAGCACAGCCCCTCCAGGAAGGTGACTGGTAACTCAGACTAAACACCCTAAGCCCAGTGCAGCCACCCTGGGCCAAGTGTCAGCACTGACCTAGGCAGTGGGGAAGAGGAACAGGCATCAAATTCTGCTGTGACAACACTCTCTCATTCCCTCAGCCTGGTGCAAGGCAGAGGAGTCAGCACCCGGATGCTTCCAGCATCCTGAGTCACTTGTGGAGCAGCTGCATTTTCCTCACCCACAGTCATCCCCAGATCTGCCGACAACCCACGGAGGCTTCCTCCCCGTATTTCCTCCCACACGCAGCTCCTCTCCCTCCGGACTTCAGTCCAGGATTGGATTCCCAAAACATGCTCCCGTGCAAGAACAGAGCCCAGTCACCCCCCAGCCACAGCTGCTTCCTCTCACTGCTGTGCAGTTCAAACAGAATTTTGCAGAGTGGCCGCTCTCAGCCTAAACTTGAAAGGAGTTTGCTCTGCAGCAAGGACGCAGCTCCGGGAGCTGAGTCGACACTGCCTTCCCAAATACTCCTGCACCAGAAGCCCTGCACTGCAGGGAAGCAGCATTACCTCCCAGAGGAAAATCCCTGTGAGATCCACAGCTGCCCAGAGCCCTCCGTCGGCCGAGACCAAAATATTCAGCATTCATACAGAGAGGCTTCTGCAGGGCTGATTTCAGGCCAAAAGGGACAGATTTCCTGTTTTCCTCTCCTCTGCAGGACGGGGCGGGGGGGGGTCCTTCACCCCAGGTTTGGAAGCAGACCTAGGATTTATCCTCCTGGCTGGGGAGGGGGCATTTAATTTAAGCACAATAGAGAAGCAGCCTCCTCCAAATCAGAATTAAGCCCCAGAAAGGAGGGGGCCATTTGCAGTCATATCACTCTGAATGCGATATGTGCAACTGCAAGGACTGCTTTGTCTAAGTCCCTTGGCCTTAGGCCACGGTGCTGGCAATACCACCAGCTAGAGGAAGAGCTGGTGCGTGAGGATAATGGCAGAAGACAGGGAGGGAAGAGAGAGCCCATTTTGGATTCAGAGGAGGACGTTCTTTCATTGAAAAGATTCTGGGGGTGTTGAGGATGATCCGAACTCAGAAGAGAGGACAACTTAGACAGGAATAGTTGCAGCATGACAGCAAACTGCTTGCTAACTTGCCGTTACGAGGCAAAAAGGAGGGCTGGGGGGGAAGGGGAAAATAAAACTGCATGAAAGAATGTAAAGCCCAGCTCGCAACCGGAGTGTCGGGAAGCACCGACACGGCAGCGGAGAGGGCTGGAGACAGAAACTTCCCCACTCGGCTCGCATTGTGCACGGCGTGTCTGAGCCGGGATTTTGCAGTCCCCGCTCGCAGAGCAGCCAGACTCGGATCCCCCCCACAGCATGACCTAATCCCCACCCCTCACCCACCATCGCAAAATACCACCTTTGTTTTCCCTGCAATTTTACGGCTGTTCCGGAGAGCGAGGCACAGGTTCTCGTGGGAGCCGACAGGAGAACGGTTTCCCTTGCTGCGCTTTGTTTCTTTTTTTTTTTTTTTTTTTTTTTCTCCGGTGACACTTCTGCTTTTTGTCAAAAACCCTCGGCACATCCCCAGCTCCCTGACCCCTCCGCAGAGCAGCGCCGGGGCCCACGGCACTCCCCACACACGACCCCGGCACACGGAGCCTTGCCACGCTCACAGCCCCACCGAGCTCAGCTCCACGCAGGATCAAAGTGTCTGAGACACCGGCACCTCGGCTCATCCACCAGCTGGCGACGATTCCTTGCAGTAAAATAAGATTGTTGCTCTCCTGGCAGCCAGAACAGAGGTGCATCTCGGTGATCCCTTTCGTTCATCAGCCTCCCGGGATTACAGCCACTAACGGTGCTGTGAAAATCACCCAGGCTGATTTGCCTCCCTCCGAAACCCAACTCCAAAACTTTTCCTCGGGGGGGAATGAAAAAAAAAAATAAAAAAAATCAGCCCGATTTGTGGCTGGGGATGGTCCGATGCCAACCCTGCAGGCAGGCATCGGGGATGGGAGACGGGAATACGGGTTTTTTTAAGTCAGAACAACTTCTCCATTTTCGTGCTGTTCAATTCGAGCCAACGCGCAGAGATTGGCGAGATCCCCTCCAAATATCCCACAGCGAAGCAATTGCTGCTGCGGCTTTGTTCAGGCTGCACCGACTCGCACACGGGGACCCGAGGTACGGCAACACCTCAGCACCGGCAAAAAACCCCGGCCGGTGCCTTCGGAAACCGCGGAGGGAAGGGAGGAACGCGGGGATGGAGCAAAAAAAAAAAAAAAAAATAATAAAGACAAAAAGTTAATGCTGTCAAGGAAACTTTTTAGAGAGTAAAGTTGTAATAGCTGCCGTACAGATCCAAGGATGAGGGATCGATTTTGAAAAAGGAGGTTTTTTAAGAAACGGTGCAATTCCCGTGTGCACACCCCCCCCCCTCTCCTTCCACATCCCCAAATCTCCAGCGAGCGGACAGGGCTCCTCCGCCCGGGATGAAGGGGAGACTCTGAGGGGGGAGCGGGGCCGGGGATCTCCCCGAGGCGGTGCCGGTGCCTCCGGCGGAGCTCCGCGGTCCGGGCCGACCCCTCGGCCCCGCGGAGCGCGGCCCCGGGGCGGCCCCGGCGCTGAGGAGGCGTGAGGCGAGGCTGAGGCGCGGGGAGAGCGGCCGCACTTGCGGCGTCCCGCCAGCAGCGGTCCTCGCTGAGGCGCCGCCGGAATATTCCTGATCCAGATCAATCAGCCGCCCCGGGGAGCCGAGCATGGAGGAAACCCGGCGGCCGGAGCCCCGGAGCGGCGGCGGCGGTGGCGGCGCGGGGCCGGGCGGGCGCGGTGCCCGGCGCGGGGGCGGGCGCGGTGCGGGGCTGGCGGCGCCGGCCGGCGGGGCGGGCGGGCGCGGGTAATGGCGGCGCGGAGGAGCCGCTGCCCCGCCATACCGGACTGGGCACAAACTCGAGTCCGGGGCTTCCCCCAGGTGCCGGTGCGGCACCCGCCGCTCGCCTCCCCAAACTTGCCACCCAGTTGCCGCCACGGACTTACCCGGGTTGAGGGGAGTCCCGGGGATGTGGGCGTTCAAGTTAGGCTTGTAAGACATTCCCAGAGACATGGCCAGCGGGAGGAGGAGAAGCGTCCTGAAATTCAGCGAAGCGTCTCCGTGTCTCCCAGACACTTTGGGTTGTTTACAGCAGTAGCAGCACCGGCAAATATGGCCGTCAGTTATATTGACACCCACAATGCAATATATCATCCATACATCATGAGGAGACGCGGATCCAAAAACTTTGGGGGAGAGCCGGCAGCCACCCCGCCGCGGCCGCCCGGCGCCCCGCGCACGGCGGCGCGGAGGGCGGGGGCGCGGCGGGCGGGGGCGCGGCGGGGGTGCGCGGCCATCCCCTCACAGACAATGGAGCTCCCCTCAGGGAGCCGCCGGGAGGGAGCGGGGCGGGCGGGCGGCGGCGGAGCAGCCCCGGCGGCGGCGGCGCGGGGGGGCTGTTTTAATTAACTTCGGAAAGTTTTGGCACAAGTTCGCTTTTTTTTTTTTTTTTTTTTTTTTCTTTTTCTTCCACCGGGCTGTGCCCGCGGCGGGCGGCGGCCCCTCCTCGCCAGCCCGGAGCGCCCCGGCCGTCCCTGAGGGCGGCCCGCGCGCCGCCGCCTTCCCGCCTCCCCCTCACCTCACACCGGGCGTTCACTCGCCTTCGTTATTCCCCGTCTCCCCCCGCAATTTTCGATGGAAAATACCTGTTGATAATTTTAGAATAAAAGATTTTTTTTTTTCTTTCCCTTAGGTGCCGCCAAGGAAAAATTCTCCTCTTTTTTTTTTTTTCTTTGCTTCTGTTTTTTATTTTTTTTCAAACCACTGTTTCTCTCCACTCGAAGGTGGAAGGTTAATGTAAATTGCAGCTTCTGAGGGGCCAGAAAAATAAATACGGGTCTCGTTGATAACTACATTTTCTGCTTGCAAGCAGTAGTAAAACTTCTCCACATAAAAAAAATTTAAAAACATATTAATTTTCAGGTTAAATTATGACACTTTCCAGCATGCATCTTCCACTTCAGAACTCACCGTTTTCACTGCAAGACACTCAATTTTTCTCCTTCTGTCAATTAATCTCAAATACACTCTACAATTGTTAAATTACTGCAGATTTATACCAATAAAACTGCTTGGGAGCTGGACAAGCTCTCCAAAGGTGCACAGCTTAGCCTGAGACCCACAAGATCAGACCCACGCATACATTTTATCAGAGGCCACTCTGAGATCTGGGAATTTTATTGCACGTGTTAATTGAAGTCTGTCCAGGGCTTTATATTGCTCTTAAGCCTGATCCTGCTCCTTGGAAATGAAGGGTACGTTCCTTTAGGTGACAGTGACTCAGGCCCAGAGTGGCTGGCTCTGCAGAGGGAAGCAGGTGAGATCTCCATCACAGCGACACGGAAACAGTCACGGAGCAATCAGAGGATTTCTTGCAAATAAAGGAGAATTGAGGGGGAAAGGGAAAAGCGAGGCAGCCTTTGAGCCCCTGGCTCGTGCCCCAGTGACTGCACGCTGCATGGAAGGAACATCTGAAAACTGTGACTAGTACCAGATGAAACACAGTTGTATTTTATCTCTGGGCCAAGTGGATGACTGCAGTGATCCTACTAAGCCCTGAGTGGTACAGAGTTTTCCTTACAACTGATCCACACTCTGGTCTGTTAGAGAAAGGTCCTGAGAGCCCTGGGCACAGAATTACATGCTCAGTGACAATATTTTCACACTGGTGCTTGCGACTATAACTGTGTAATTCTTCTTAGAGTCCTGAAAGATTGCACTGGTAAACCCTCCTGTCCAGCACTGTGTGAGCGAGAACTTTGCATCCCTAAAGCTTCGCCTCCAGATTTATAAATAACAGCCTTTCTGTTGAATCCCTGGAAGGCCAGTGAAGTCCTGCACGCTGCTCTGGGATTTTCCATCGCTGTGTGGTTGTTTACAGTCACACCGAGTGAGTGCGAAATGGGAGCGTTCCATGTTTTTCACGGCTTTGCACCAACTCTACAGAACTGCTCTCAGAGCAACACTCCAAAGAACAAGATCCCCTGTGTTTTGCTCGGGTTTTATAATGACAGCTTCAAAATACACAATATTCCAGGAGGGAAGGGGGATGAGGAAGGACTCCTGTAAAGATTATCCTTTCTTCAGCAAAAGGCACTGGTGAGCTTTGAAGCAGAATGTGGGGGTCAGGCTTGATGAGGTGGTCAGGCTTGCAGGGTGACATTATTTTTTGACATTTGCTCTGCAGTCCTCTGGGCACAGGGAGCAGTGGTGGCGTGAGACACAAGACCCTGTAACAACCTCACTGCTTGGCCTCAGACACTGTTTAAGCTTCAACTGACTTTACTCTTGGGTTTGGTTTTTTTTTGCAGACACTGCAGGAGTTGGCTTGGGTAAGAAGTACCTGCAAATCCTTCCCATCTGCCATGTGCTCGGAGGGTTCACTTCAGTTGTTCTCAACCAGGTGTGGCCACAAGAACAAAACCACCCCGTGCTGGGGCCCTGGGCTGACTGTTCAGCGGGGTGACCACAGAGTGAGCTCCCTCAGAGGGGGCTGCCTGTGGTTTCACCTCGTTTGATGTCCCAGGCAGTGCTGGAGTTGTGCTCTGCACATGCAAACCCCGCCCTGAGTGCAGCAGCTCCATCTCCCAGAGCCCACATGCCCCAGGGTGCTTGCAGGTCCCTGCTCTGCAGGCCCAGGGCTCTGTCGTGTTCACTGACATCAAAAGCAGCTCTTCAGCATCAAGTGGCCAAGTCATAGAGCAGGAAATACAGCAGAGCCATTTTATCACACAGGTGACATTTTCAAGCCCTCTCCACACTAAGAGGTAATTTGAAATTGAACTTGTGTGCTTGTTTTCCACAAGGGAGGATGGACAGGAAGAGCTCAGTGGTTAGAGCACGGTTCTGAGAACACCTAGGTTGTTATTTGATCCCTGCATGGGCCATGCACTTAAGAGTTGGACTTGATGATCCTTGTGGGTCCCTTCCAACTCAGAATATTCTGTGAAGTCTTGGTTCTGTGAAATCAGGCTCTTCAGTCACTGCAAGCACCAGTGATGTAGTTTCCAGATACAGCTGCCTCTTCTCAGTCGTGTGAGATCTCCAACTCTAACCCTGTCCCCCTCCTCTTTCTTTTCTTGGCGTTTTCTCTTCTCTCTGCTGGTTTGACTTCCTCACCTCTGCTCCTCCCAAACCACTGGGAATGCTCAGCAGCCAGTGTTTCCACAGAGTTTGCCTCCAGCCCCTGTTTAGCCAGAGCTCCGACTGATCTGCAGGAGGTTTTCCCTTCCCAAATCTCTGTCGGGTCCCTGCCGTGCCCCTCAGGCAAAGGGTGTGAGGAGCACACATGCAAAGTGGGATGTTGGAAGGTGCTGGCAGCTGCTTGAAGGATGGCTCTGCCACAGAGCCAGGGGCCTTGGGCCAGGCTTTAAAACAAACTTGTTTGCCCCCTTTGATCTGTTAACAAAGTGAATTAGTCACTGCAGAGCTGGAACACTCCCGGGGACCTGCAAATGGAGAGCACAAACTAGGCTGGTTCCTTATCATCTTGGGTTAAATCAACAATGAAAACAATTAAAGATGGCTCGGCAAGACCCTCTCTTTTGCTGGCATGTCTCTGACATGTGTAGAACATTACATTTGCGCATTAATTTCAATGTAATTAATTGTTGTCAGGCTTAATGAATTGAGTGACTGGGGAGGTTCTGTCCTTTACCCACCGCAGAGACTTGTGTAGCAGCAAAGGGGGATGGGAAGTTTTTTTTCCTTTTCCTGGAGGGAGTTTATATTCAAATGCTTCTCCCCACATTTCTGGGGATCCAGCATCATGCATAAAATAATCACAGATGCTCCTACAAGTTTCTGAGCACTAATTTAATCTGCAAGTCTCCAAACTGCTCTTCTGCTAAAACTAAGATGATCGACCAAAATGAAGTGAAAAGTCTCTGGTAGGCCTAGGCTGAAAACTGAGCTTTTTACGTGTTGAGTGAAGGCAGGTTTAACCTCTAGGAAGAGCACAGGTGGTAGAGGCAAGTGGCTCTAACAAAGGGCATTTTCAAAGATGCTTTTCAGAGCAGAGTGCCTTCCTCACTGGGATTGTAAAGAGCCAGCACCTCCTGGTGCAGAACCCCTCCTTCCCCAGGCCCTGCTCCAAGGACACCTTGTACACTCCAGGGGCAGTGTGGGACACTGGCACGGAGGGAAAATTGTGCATTTCATGCTTTTTGGCATCATTGTTGCTCTTTTCTTATCGCCTTGCTGCAGCTCCTTACATTGCCGTCTCTGTTCTCCACAACTGCTTCCTGCTGATGCTATGACATTTCCCTCCTGCTCTTTTTGTTCCCAAGAGGAATCTGACAGCCCTCGGTGTCCCTCCTCTGTGATCTAATTTTTGGCTGATGTTTGCTGCCTATTGCCCCATCCTCACCAAAATGCAAGAGAAACACCCAATCCTGACTAAAAACACAGATTGTGCAGCTCCACCCTGCTGCCTTTTCTTCTCACACCTCAAGATCCCTCTGGAAGCTCTGCACTGCTCCCCCCTCCAGGGGGAAGAGCCCTCTGAGACCCTCTGCAAGTGCCAGGAATCCTCTCGCAGCTCCTGGCCCACGTCTCCAGACAGCCTCGCCACAGTTCCGGATGGAAGCTTGGATGCCTATTCCGGACAAACTTTCCCTGTCTAGCCGTGCTCCCCACCTCAAGATGGTTCCTCCCAGGCCAGCTGCCATATTATCTGGAGCGACTTTCCCTCCCAGCCTTGTTTTTCCTCCTGCTCCTGAGTCCTTTGTCTGGCTGCCAAGAGGAGCAGCCCTGCCAGGCCGACAGCTGCTCCGCATCGCACGGGCGCTGCCCCGCGGGCTCCGTGGCCCGTTCCAGGCCCGTTCCATCTCCAAGGGGGACGCTCTGCCCTAGGGATGTCGTGTACCAGGAGGAGAAAAAGCAAACGGCACCTGTGAGACTGGGAATGTTGAAGATAAAGAGGCCTTTGTGCTGCTCTGGGTTTACCTTTGAGACGGTGTGAGTAGCGAGCCTGTTCTCTCCTGCTCTGTCTGGAGGTCTCCCTGGAGGACCACAGAGCAGGAATGAGAAGTTTCCAAGCCCTCAGCCACAAAAGCACAGGCCTGGAATCTCTCTAATGAGAGTTTTCCTCTTTGCAGTTTGCCAGGCAAACAAGCACCAGGCACCAATATCAAAACCAGCCCAGATTCCAATGAAAACCAGCAAAGAAAATTAAGAGCAGAAAGGAAACCACTTCATTTTGCTTGGTAAGAACAGGCAAATAAAGCTACGGAGC